TCCATTTTTTGCAGCAATTTTTGTTTGTTTTTGTTTGTTGGACATCGAAACATACTTTCGTTTTGTAGATCCTTTGGTAGTTCCAGCATCGGAAATTCTATTTGACATAATCGAAAGTTCAAGTTTACTTTTATAAAATTGCTCTTACAGCCTGCAAAAAATAATAAGCCGGATCCAATTCGAATATTAAGGAACAACGCAATCATTAACATTAACTGAAATAGATAATTTTAGCTTACACCGTCCATTATACATTAAACACGCAGGCGAAAACGTATTCTGCACTTGCGCACACGCATATGCGCAGTAGTCAAGGTCTTACGCACACGCGCAAAACGCCTGTGCGCATGTGCCAATGCGGCGCATGCGCAGAAAGTTTTAGCTTTGAGGTCCAGATTATGGGTGTCCGAATTAACGACTTTTGACTGTATATATATATACATACAGTTGTCCTCCAGAGTAAAATTCTGCACAGTTTTTAAATTTAACATTTAAGAATCTCTTCAATCATTTTTCCAGTACATTTAAAAGCCAGATGAAGGCTGGGGGCATAGCTGCTACTTAATTAATATTTTGAAGTTTTATGGTATGTACAGTATTTTTTAATTTATATAACGATATTATGAATAACAGCTGATATAAGTAAACTGTCAAATTTTTAGCTTCTTATGCTAACTGATTGAACTGTATATTACAAATTAGACAGATTAAATAATTTACAAATATTATTAAAAGTAAAGTAAGAAGAGTTATTAAGAAGTATACAATTTAAGAGCATTAAAATTCTTTATGCAAAACCTGTTTTTAAACTGAAAGACAATGATTTTATGCAATATAGAATAGCAACACTTCTCAGAACTGCACTGTCAGACCACATGGATAATAAGTGCCCTAATTGCATAATGCAATTTAACAGGAGGTAATGAATATAAAAACCGCATTGTATTTAACATTAAAATATCTCAAAAGTATAATAAAATTAAAATTTCAGAAATATTCTACTGAATATTTTTTTTTTTTTTAATTATTTAAAAAAATTTATAAGCATCAGTCATACGGTGATTTCAAAGAAGACAATTTAATAGAGGTAAACACAGCTTAAATCTTATTTAGTTAATTATTATTTCTATTTATTTTCAAATAAAAAGTTTAAAACATTCTCTTCATGTCTTAAAAAAGGTTAAAATGCTGGCAGTATTGTTGCTAGATCCACTGTACTATGATGTGCAAAGAATAAAATTTAAAATTAAATATGTTGGGAAATAAAGTACTTCATCATTATACAGTACAATGTCCGAAATCTGGATTTGTCAAGACTTCAACGGTTCTGGATTTGGGATTTTTCCGGATATTAGATCATCAGTTTAAATCTGGTAAGATGGCATGCAGAAATTATACAATTAAAAATATGAAACCGTAATTTATGAAATAAAAAGCAATTATGATCTAAAGGGTATCAAAATTTACAAAAAAAAAAAAAAAAAAGCTTAATATTTATTTGTTTACTTTACTAAACATTTCTTTCAATGTAAGTTGTTTAAGTTGCTTTGTTTTTTGTGCTAATACTTTCTCTTTAATTCTATAAACAGACATAATTTCTTGTTCATTTACGAACTTCCACTATTCCTGTAATTGCTGTGTCGAGAATACCGACTAACTTGTCAATCGAAATGTTTTCATTTTTAATAACCTCTCTGTCACTTTTTTCACTATCGGAAGCGCTATTTTCTGGATCTAGAACCATACAACATATTTCCTCGTCCGTTAATTGATTGATGATTGGGACATTGTCATCACAATGAAAAACTTCTGTTATACCATCTTCATTCATTACCCACATTTCTTTACAAAATCCATTAATTGGAAAATTTCACCTTTAGTTTTCAATATCTGAAAACCTTCAAATTTGCAGCTATCTTCATCATCCTTACCATGAAATATGGTAGCTGGCCATAAATTATGCAAAGCATTTTTTAACATATCTGGAGACACATCCTCCCATGATCTTGCGATGGTCCATACAGCAGATTTTATGCTAAAATATTTCAAAAATTCTTGAATAGTTTTGCCACTGTTCCAGAAATTTAACATGGATTTTAAAAATGTTACTTTATATTTGCATTTCAGTGTGCGCACTATTCTGATATCCATAGGCTGAATGATAGACGTATAATTTGGAGAGAAGAATAATACGGATACATTATCTTTCACTAAAACTTCAAGTGAAATTTGAGCCAAACAGTTGTCTACAATCAGGACTATTTTTGAGTCATCAAGTAAACCAACTGAATTCAAATGTTGCCGATCCTCGGGTATAAAATGATTTTCAAACCAATCATTCATTAACGCTTGAGTCATCCATGCTCTTTTATTTGCACGATATATAACAGGCAAAACAGTCACTGCTTTAAATGCTCGATGTTGTGCATATTTTCCCATTACGAAAAGTTTGCATTAAAAAAAAAATCTCATCCTTAATTTTGCCCCTTGGTGCTTCCCAAATTCCAAAAATTTTGTCTTCCCTAAATTATGCCATACGGTGCCGACATATTCTCTGAAGCCGCTTCTGGGCTTATGGTGAATAACATATCAGTTACTCTTAAATAACACTAAATGTAATCTTTTGGCCTATGAGTTTCATTAACAAGATCTATTTTTAGCATATGAAAAGAAATTTTTGTTGAATTTTTCTTCGTCAACATTTCTTAGAGCGTTTAAAAATCTATAATCATCGCCAAGCATAATGTTAGCATAAAAGGTTGCCATACTCTTGTTATTCAATTACTAATATAATAAAAAAGTTTAGACATCACTGCATGTGTTATTACTGAAGCTGTCACGTATTGATAAACATGCAGTGATGAAAGCAAAATGCAGTCAAAAGTCATTAATTCGGACACCCATAATCCAGACCTCAAAGCTACAAACTTTCTGCACATGCGTCGCGTTGACGTATGCGCGTAAGACATTTACAGCTGCGAATACGCGTGTGCGCATGCGCAAAATACGTTTACGAATGCACGTTTAATGTATAACGGATGGTATAAGCTAAGCTAAAATTATCTAATTCAGTTAATGTTGCAGATTGCGTTGTTCCTTAATCTTTGAATTGGATCCGGCTTATTATTTTTTGCAGACTGTTAGAGCAATTTTATAAAAGTAAGCTTGAACTTCGATTATGTCAAATAGAATTTCTGATATATATTTACTATTATGTAAAGGATCTACAGAAAGCGAAAGTATGTTTCGAAGTCCATTAAATAAAAGTGGAATTGCTACAAAAAATGATGTAACGATTCCGAAATCTGTTTATCAATTTCACGCTGCTCTGCGGCAGCGGGATGGAACGCCGCGGCGCGCGATGAATTAGAAGTTGATCTGTCAGCACTATCCTTAGCTTCAGAGCAGATATTTTCATTTTATTTGGCTTATAATTCCTTACTAAATGTAGTATTTCATCTGGATGTATTCCGTCTTTGATATCATTTAAATCAAATTCCTCGTCATTATAATTTGCTTACGATAGTGAAGAAAGTGACACAGAGGTTATTGAAAACAAAAAAATTTCGATTGACAAATTAGTCGGTATTCTCGACACAGCAATTATAGGACTTGAACAGCGGAACTTTGTAACTGAACAAGAAATTATGTCTGTTTTTAGAATTAAAGAGAAAGTATTATCACATAAAACGAAGCAACTTAAACAACTTACATTGAAAGAAATGTTTAATAAAGTAAACAAATAAATATTAAGCTTTTTTTTTTTTGTAAATTTTGATAACCTTTAGATCATAATTGTTCTTTATTTCATAAATTACAGTTTCATATTTTTAATTTTATAATTTCTGCATGCCATCTTACCAGATTTAAACTGATGATCTATAATCCGGAAAAGTCGACAATCCGGAATCGCCGAAGTCCCGACGAGTCCGGATTAACGACTTTTGACTGTATAATAATGACTCTCCAGTTTGGCGTCAGGTATATAAAATAGGTGAATGTTTCAGTTTGAGATGTAAGCCAAGCAGACACTCAGCTACACAGCCAAATTATTAATCTCACAAATTTATGCTTCCATGATTGTTTTAGAGCCTAAGTGAAATTAAGAATCGGAATTTTTAAGTGAAAATTTCCACATGTTTTATTACTGAAAGAAAAATCAAATGTGCATGCATAAAGAATACCCAAAAAAAAATTTTCGTGGCTTTGAGGTCCAGATTTTAGATCATTCCGGATAACGGACTGTATATAGCAAATATCTTAAATCATATTTTTTTTCTTCCCTTGATGATGAAAGAATGAATGAAGATAACACAAATCATTTCATAGAACAGAAAATCTACAAACTGCTATGAATATGATATGGCACAAAATAAAAGATTGTTATTAAAAATTATACAACTTTAATTCATAATTACATACAAAAAGTTATATTTTTTTATTCTTCATTAAATTAGTTCTCATTATAATGAAGAAAACACCAGAAGATAAAATGACAGGAATACTTTTAAATTAATCTTTTAAAGATTTATTTCATTCCTATATTTAACCAATACGATAAAAACAAAGAAAGTTAAATGAATTTAGGGTACTGTTCTGTTATCAGGAACCAGATCTAGAAATTTGTGTATGTAATACATGTTCACATATGCATGTATATATGTAAGCACGAATGCATGTGTGTGTATACATATGCACATACTTACATACACATGCACATACATTTCTGAATCCGGTCCCGATAACAGAACAGTACTGGTTTTAGTTTCAAATATTCCAAATCTTTTAAACTATTATAAATTGAAATGATTATGACACTTTTTAAAGTTTTGATAATGAACCAAAGGTCTACAATGTGTATCAGCAACATTGCTTAAATAGGCAATAATTTTAAAACCAAAATGAAAACTATATTTACATATAAAGCATTTAAATTAAATGAAGCATTTTAATTAAATGAAATAAAATAAATGAAAAATAGCAAATAAAAATTATAGAACCTTGGTAATGCGTTTGACTAGAGGAGTAGTAGTATTACTATCATATGGAAAAAGATCTTGAGCATGACCACTTTCCGTATCTAGTACAACATACTTAGAAGATAAAGCTAGACCAACATATTGACCATCCATAGCCTATGATTGCAAAATTATAAAAGTGAGTATCTTAAAACAATTAGTCATATAATTTTTAGTATCTCCAGAATACATTTATACAAGCAAAACTAGCTTATCATAGCTCATATTTGATGTCACATACCATTACTAATGCTGGCTCAGATATAACAATGTCCCGCAAATGAATAATTTTATCATCTGTTACATGACAAATCATCAACTGTTTTCTTTTTGCAACACATATCTAGAAATGAAAATGAATATTAATAGTAAAATAGTACAAAATTACATATTAATGCAATCATCTAGGCACAATCAGGCACTCTTTTATAGATGAAAAGGTAAAAATTACCACTACAAGTTAATGATTTTTTCAACTTTTTTTTTTAAAAACGTTCCCAAATTATCGATACTTATTGTAAATCAGCAAATCAATTTAGAAACATTTTAATATATAAATGTAAGTTATTAAATAAAGATATATGATACATTTAGAAAATAAAATACATTTTTGGCAAAACTCTAATTTTTAAGCACTATTGTTCCTCCCATGTACATGGTGATCTGTTTTCACTTAAAAAAAAAATCAGAAAATTTCATGTTTTCCGAATTATGCACTGGCTATCAACCAAATTCATCTCATCATTGTTGCCTTTAGATTATTTACCACAGTTCCTTTAGTTGCTGGCAAACTCCACATGTGATATTTTAAAACTAAGTTGAATGTATAAAATATCAAGATTTGTCTCTAAAAACCATTGGACTTAAAATAGAACAAATACAAAAATCATAATGTTGATTGAATGAAGTATTATTATGACCATGGTTGCTGCACAATGTTTATATGCATAGTTACCAGAGTTTGGCACATTCTGAAAATTTGCGACTTCTACTAAGGTGTTTAACGTAAGAACCAAATACTATTATTTAAAACTGGATAAAAGCAAAGCCTCCTGATTAACATTCCTTAAACACAGCTTTATATTATTTTTTTATCTAAAACTTTTATATGACACATTCAGAATTAATAAGCAATTTATTTTGTATTCAAAAACAACAACTTTAAAAGACACTAAAAACTCCTATTTACTCTCAAGGTGGATTCTAGAAACATCCTTTTAAGGGGGCACTTCAAATGAGGTCATTTAAATACACAACAAATGGAGATAAAAGAACATGTAACTAGGGGCAAACAAGAGGATAATTTTTTCTATCATTCAACATTTGCTCCAGTTCCATAAGATTATAGAAAATTATACTGTTAGCATTCAGATTATTTCCTTTTCTTTCCATCCTTGTTTTTTACGTCCTCTTTTCTATCCAAGCCATTTGCAGCCAAGCTTAATTAATCAGAATTAAAGCAATGAAAAATATTAAAATTGTGTTTCCAGAAATCCCTAAGGATTATTCTGTATTTGAAGTTACTTCAAAACACCTTTGAAAAACATTTGAAGCCACATGAGTGTTTATAACTTGCACTATTTGTAACCTGAGAGATTTCTTGTTCAGATAATTTGTTCGTGAATTGATTTATTTGAGATGGGAAATGTTCGTGTTCCAAGGTTCCACGGTATTAATTGAATACAAAGTTCAAGCAGAAAAAAATGTAAATATTCAATAAAAATAACATAGTAACTATTATTATTGTGATACATAGATATTATATTCAATTACCTTTAAAAGAATATAAAGATATTTTTATGCCTTCAAAAATATCTAACGTAAAAATCTTTTTTAGAATAAAGAAAAAGTATATATATCACCAGGGAATTTATTTATAATATTCAAGTTTTAAATGAGATTTATAGTCAATGTTAAGAATGCTAACAGAAAATATTTGGCACTTCACAGCTGTTCATATCAATAATATGTCCTTCCCTGTCTTAATTTTACTTAAATTTAATGCAAATATTCCTCACTTAAGAAAGCAGGAAGTAAACTTACTTCAACACTAAAAGGATTATTTGTATCTGGATTTTCATTCAGACAGAAACAAGAGATACCTTTTAGTTTGGTCATAGCTGGAATAATCTAGAAACAAAAAAATTTCAATTAAGTTACATGGATGTAGTTAATCTGTAATTAAATTAAATTCTTAATTAAAATAAAACTGAAATACATGAAATGTTAATACTTATTTAAAATGCCTATATATTTTTTCAATAAAATATACTCTTATTGCCATGTTTAAATTATAACATGCAACATCAATGATATTGAAAATTTTATTATCTCATGAGTTTGAGCCTAAAATTCAAATGTGAAAGAGAAATTTTTAATATAGTACCTTGACTAGAAATTAATCTTTGAATTACTGTTTTGCCTTCATATAAAATTATAAATGATATCAAACTGGTAACTAGCATTATAAAAGAGTATCAAAATAAGCACCTAACATAATTTTAAAAAAAAATAAAGAGTTTAGAACTAGTTTTCTAATTTTACTTTGTAATAATTCTAACATTCAGTTGTTAAAAATATACACATATACATTTTCAAAAAAAAAAAAAAAAAAAATTACTTCAGATTTAGGATTAAATTTTCTTAAGAGTTTCCCATTAAAAGAGATTGCCATTAAAAAATGAAATATATTATACAACCAAAGATTTTCTTGCAGATTTACTATTCAAGTTAAAAGTTTAAACTTCAACTAATAATCATAGTTTCCATAATGATTTTAGCTTTCTTTATATTAGGATGATTGATATTGGTGAAATCTCCACATGTGAGTGAAAGAAAAATGATATAGTAATTAATATGCCAAAGAATGAATGTACTTTGTGGAAAGAAGTAACGAAATGGCCTATCCTAGAAGAATTTGTTGTGAACTGGATCCTAGAAAATCACTAGAATCGCCAGTAATCTAGAATCACTAGCCTTTATGTACATTCAGAAATCAAATTTTTTTATGCTCATGTTTTCCTTATTTTTAAATCTATCATTTTTATATCCAGCATATAATGCACACCCACAAATTTTTATCTTAATTTTTGTATTAAAAGTGCACATATGCCAGAATAAACAGTAATTTGATTTCAGTTCATGGTTAATTATTTAATTTAATGTTTGTATCCCTTTTTTCCCCCCTACTCTTTACAGGGCATGTTAGTTCCTCCACATTCTATGTTTCTGGATTAGAAACATTAAAAATCATTTTTAGTTCTTTATCATCAAGTTCTGTATTTTCACTTTTTTATTTTATAACTATTTTGTCACAGTAATCTACTTATAAAAATATTTTGAGATCGTTCGTCAACTTTTCTTGTGATAATTTAAGAAATTTGTTTTTGTTTTCAACCATTAATCTTTGAGTTTCCTTAGAATTTAACATGGAATTAATTTTCAATTCATAACAGCCTTCAGAATGCAACCAGAAGATACCCTGATTTTCATGAAGAGAAAGACTAATGTATGCCATTCAAAAGAAAATAAGAATAGCCAGTCTCTAGCAAAACTTAACCTGTGGCAGAAATATGGAGAACAAGTACAGCATGTGCAAGTATGTCACAAGCAAGAAAACCCTTATAAAACTTACTATGTTTTTCAGATGTGTCTACTGAAAAGAATTCAAAGTACAATTATGATATGCCAGATACGGTTTTCTTGAAATAAACAAACAGGCAAACAAAAAGAAAAAGAGGTTCACAAATTAAAGAGAAATTTAATAAAAGGCTTTCCAGGTGCATAATGACTGCAACACAAAGTACAAGAGTAAAGATTAAGAGTACAAGAGCAAAGAATTAATACTTACTGTCCAAAAGCAAAGTAATATCTGCTGTTATAAAAAAGCAGAAAAAGGATGATTAGAAAAAGAAATCAGAAAGGTGATCTATCAGAGAAGGATGGTACTCTATCACTCTACACATGTAAAAGCCAATTATATTATGGTAAGAATGGGATAATTATGATTATATGACTTATCATCTATATAAAGCCTTACAAGCTATTACACCTAAAATGAACATCAGCTGAAATAATTGGTCTGAAATGCTTGATGAATTAATACAGATCAATGAGTTATATGGCCTATCAGCCTATGAGCTATAGGGTCACTAGGTACATCTTCAATACAAGTTTACAATGAATCCTGTTCTGATTTAAGTTTCCTTTGGTAGTGCTTTAGTCAAAGTACATACAGTCAAATACCGAAAATCCACCGAGCTGAAATCCGCGTTGCCTCTCAAAATATAAACATTCAATTTATAGGTTCCGGAAACTGTTACATGGAGAATGAAATACCGAAGAAAAATAACTTACCAAATAATAATAAGTCATAATAGAAATACTAAAATATTGACATCATGGTAAAAGTTTTTTCCCCTCCAATCTGCAGAGGATTCACTCAAATTTGCTTTCAAGTTCACGATTCACATTGTATTTTCTGAGCTTTGTTATTTCACAAGATTGTTTAATGCTGCTGTTTTGTTTTTTTCTCCGGATATTGTGTGGATAAATTTAAAAATATTTTAAATTTCAGCGCTTTTTAATACAAACATGATCATGATTTTACTGCTTACAACGTTAGAAAAAGTATAGATGTTGCAATGATGGTAATGCAAAAAGTGGAAATTTTGCGAAAGATACTGGCAGGTATTACTCTTTGGTTTATACAGGGTTCATAGCCACATTTTAGTTAAAAAAAAATAAGCACCTATAAGCACTTTTCAAGCACATTTTAAGAAAAAAAATAAGCACCCGTCTAATTACATTATACACAACTGCATAACCTTAAAAGAAAAATTAGACTTGCAATTTAAAATATGAGCAATGCAATATTTATCAAGAGAATGAGCATTACCTCAACCATGGAAAAACAACTCTTTTTTTTTTTTTAGATATATATATATAATATATATATATATATAATTTTAAATGACAGTTCAATTTACAGAATTAGTTTACAATGAGAGAAAAAAAAGAACTATGCAGAACTAAACTATATTACAAGATTTAATGATGAAATTTCAGTTCAAAACATAGAAAATAAATAATAATAAGCCATATTAATTGTATTCGCTTGGCATCTAATAATAAATACAATTTATTTTCCCACTCATATTAATATTTAAATAATTTAAATCAAAATTCTGAACATTTTCTAAATTTTCATTAATTATCTCTGCAAAATATCGCAAACATTATTGCGCAATACGTGCGGCGTAATTCTTCCATATGTGATATTACGCAATCGGAATCAACAACTGCCGGTATTCGGAGAATAAAGAACTAAATAAAGGAAAAGAAAGAGACTTACTAATCTGGGGTTTTTTTATTCTAATTTTGAACAGATTGCGTTAAATTTCCGCAATTTTCATTCTTCGCTTGGGTTGGGTAGACCGCAAAACTTTTAGTCGTATTCAATCCAAATTGGACAGTGACAAAAAAAGTCCGCTGCTTCAATACTAGAGATTTTGCGGAGAAAGGGGAGAACCTCACAACCTCCGTACTGTATAATGTATTAGGGGAATATTCTGACTATTCGATTACTTTCCTTTTATTTAAGCCATTCCGAATATTATTCCTTAGAAAGCTAATCTGTGTAAAAATACACCCATTTTTGGAAGTTTATCTACACTTCAGGAGCTACTGCAACTATATTACTATAAATATTCATACATATGCTCATAATATAAGCATAACGATCATAATAAACACAAATATGAACTGACCACGCGGAACGAGAATGCAAATTAAAATCTTGATAGAAATTCAAACGTGTGTAGTATTTGGGTGGGCGGAAAAGAATACCGAATTACCGGAATTTTCTACGGTTTTCGCAATTCTTTGACCAAAAGAACGACGTGCACCTGTCTATACTCTCGCGCGCACCATAGGTTACGTTAATGCAGAGAAACATGGAGCTAGGAAGTAAGGACCTCCATGCAGAGAAAGGGGGGGAAAGCTATTTCCGGGAGTATGATTCACCATTTGACGTTCCATATAAGGAAGAAAAGTTGTTTATTTAGTTTCGGCTTTGGTACGGGAGGAAAAATGCGCGTTCATTAAAAAAAAGCACTAAAAGCAAAAAATAAGCACTAAAAACAAAAAAAATAAGGGCCTTTAAAGAAAACGTAAGCACCTATAAGGCCCTTATATTTTATTTTCAAATATAAGGACTTAAAAGCACTTGTAAGGACGGATACGAACCCTGTTTTAACAGAATTGTATGGAATTGCAATATGGAATACAGTCAAAAGTCGTTAATTCGGACACCCATAATTCGGAATGATCTATAATCCGGACCTCAAAACTAAAAACTTTCTGCGCATGCGCCGCGTTCACACATGCGCATAGGCGTTTACGCGTGCGCGTAAGACCTTTTACGACTGCGCATATGAGTGTGCGCAAGTGCAGAATACGTTTTCGCGTGCGCGTTTTATGTATAATGGACGTATAAGCTAAAATTATCTAATTATCTATTTCAGTTAATGTTGATGATTGCGTGGTTCCTTAATTTTCGAATTGGATCCGGCTTATTATTTTTTGCAGACTGTAAGAGCAATTTTATAAAAGTAAGCTTAAACTTTCGATTATATCAAATAGAATTTCCGATATATATTTGTTAATATGTAAAGGATCTAAAGCGAAAGTACGTTTTGAAATCCGAAACCTGTTTATAAATTTCACGCTGCTCGGCGGGGGGGGGGATCGCCGCGGCGGGCGCGTAATGAATTGGAAGTTGATCTGTCAACACTATCCTTATCTTCAGCACAGATGTTTTTATTTTATTTGGCTTATAATTCCTTACCAAATCTAGTATTTCATCTCAATATGCTCCATCTTTGATATGATTTAAAACAAGTTCCTCGTCATTATAATTCGCTTTCCATAGCGAAGAAAGTGACAGAGGTTATTGAAAACGAAAAAATTTCGATTGACAAATTAATCGGTGTTCTAGACACAGCAATTATAGGACTTGAACAGCGGAACTTTGTAATTGAACAAGAAATTATGTCTGTTTAATAGAATTAAAGAGAAAGTATTATCACATGAAACGAAGCAAAACATAAACAACTTACATTGAAAGAAAT